TGTCCCCTATTCCAATGCCACCATATTCCCATGCCGCCCAGCCCCCTGCCACCATGTGCCCTTGCCCCCAGCTCTGTGCCAACACATCCCCCGTTCCCACAGCACTGTTCCTCAGTTCCCAGTGCCCCCAGTATCCCCATGTCCCCATACCCCGCTGGCCCAGCACCCAGCCGCATAGGCCAGCGCCTCCCTCTGCTCCAACTGATGTCCCTGGGCGAGGCGCTGCCGGACGCGTGTGGTGGCACCGGCCTCGTGCCCGAAGGCCCGGATGGTCCCTATGGCCCCCAGTGACTCCAGGGCCAGTGCAGTGGTGCGGGCTTGTGCCATCCGCACCTGCCGTGCCAGATCCTGGGGACACACGGAACAGGAGGTCACCCTGGGGTCACAGTGGAGACAAGGGGGGGTCACCATGGGAACATGGAGGGGCTACCTCAAGGATGGGGGGGACATGGCGTGGATGGAGTGGGACAGGGGATCACCACTGGGGTCACAGAGGGAACAGGAGGGTTACACCGGGGTCAGCACAGGGTCACCATAGGGTCATTTGGGGACAGGGAAGTCCCCTCAGAATCACCATGGGGATGGATGGTGGGGGAACAGGGAGGAAATAGGGGACAGGATGAGGTGATGGTGGGCATGGGGAGGTGACAACAGGCACAGGGAGGGGACAGGAAGGACTTGGAGTGAACTCAATGTGCCGGGAGGTGACAAGGGGTCCAGGGAGGAGACACTGGGGACAGGGAGGGGACACTGGGGGACAGGGAGGTGACAGGGGCCTCTCACACCCCATGTCCTCTCAGTACCTGTTGGATGCACCCGACGGCGTGTGGCAGCAGCAGGAGGAGGGGCAGCGCCAGAAGGGTGAGCAGGGCCAGCACCGGGGACAGCCAGGCCACCATGGCTAGCAGTGACCCAGCCCGTGTTAACGCCCACAGCCCCGGCACCAGCACATCGGCCAGCGCTGAGTGCGCCGCCTCAGAGTCCCCTGTCACCCGCTCGGCCACCGCGCCTGGCGTGTCCCCCAGGGTGCCCCCCGGCCCGGGCACATCCCCACGCAGCACTGCAGCCACCGCACCGCGCTGGAGCCGGTCCCGTGCCCGTGTCAGCGCCACTGCTGCCAGGCTGTCACAGGCCAGCTCAGTGATGGCACTGCGGGGACAGCGGGGTCAGGGGGACAAAGGGTCACCGGCACCTCGGGGTGTCCCCGTGGCTCCGGTGTCACCCACCTGCTGAGCCCCAGCAGCACAAGGGGCCACACGACCGCTGTTGCATCCTTCTGTATCACCTGGTCGGTGACTTGTCCTGTGAAGTATGGGGCAGCCACCTCACCTGTGGGGACACAACATTTGGGTGGGGAGTGCCAAATGCCCTGAAACAGGGTGGTGACCCCTGAACTGGGGGCTGAGGACTGAAAATTTGATCCTGACCACTCCCCAGACTGGATGTTGAGTCCCAAAATTGGATCCTGATTCGCCAAACTGGGTGCTTGCTGCCTCTAAATGGGGTCCCAACCCACAAATTGGTTTCTGACCTCCCTTCAAATCAGATCCGGCCTCCCCCAAATTGGGTTCTGACCCTTCAAATTGGCATTGCAACCCCCCATCGGGTCCTACTCCCCCGGTTACATCCAAATCCTCTAAATAGGCTCCTGAAGCCCCTCAAAGGGGTCCTGCCCCCCGCAGGTCGGGGTCCCCCCGTACCGAGGGCAGAAGCAAACATCAGCCCCACCACCAGCATCCAGCGCCCGCTCTCAGGGCCCAGCAGGGCCAGGAGCCGGCGTGTGGGGGGAGACAACATCTGGGCCAGGGGGGCTGGTGGGTCCTGGTGTGGTCCTGCTGGGTCCTGCTGGGTCCTGGTGTGGTCCTGCTGGGTCCTGGTGTGGTCCTGCTGGGTCCTGGTGTGGTCCTGCTGGGTTCTGCTAGGTCCTGGTGTGGTCCTGCTGGATCCTGGTGTGGTCCTGCTGGGTCCTGCTGGGTCCTGGTGTGGTCCTGCTGGGTCCTGCTGGGTCCTGCTGGGTCCTGGTG